CCATCGTGTGTGTGGGCCAGGTATACCACTGCTTCCCGGATGGCTTCAATTAATTCTGATCGAAGTTTTGGGGGTGCAAAGGTAAAAAAGCCCAAGAATACTTTATGAACCAGTGAGTGCTTAATCACAGCTTCCTTTTGGGCCATGGGAGTCAGAATCTGCTTCATCTCATCCATAATAAGCTCCAGCTTTCCCGGCTGCACCTCCAGCACCTTGTCCAGAGTTGGGTGATCGGCCGACTTGTAAAGCTGAAATGTGTTCCCATAGAGCTCTTCTGTCAGCATGTTCCTCTGTTCCAAAATGGCCTTGCCATTGTACGCATACTCCACGTTGGCCGATGCCTCCGAGTGCCACAGCATCTTCCTCACGTGACCTTTAAAGCTTCTGATTATCTCTGCTATCTGAGGTTTACTCCCATGCATGAGAAATTTCTTGACGATATTCCTGGAATATTTGGCTTTACTTAGTTCAACCAAGTCACCTTGCAATTCTTCAAAAGCCTGCTTTCTCTGCTATTCATTCCCATACTGGATGAAGCACTGGATCACGCGTGTTGAGTCGTGTGCAAAGGCAATAGTTTTGATTTTCCCTTGGATCAGCTTCTGCAAGTCACTCCTCAGCTTCACTCTCTTTCCCTTGTCACAGTCCTTCCTTCTCAAGCTCTCCCAGATGTGCTTTGCTCGAACCACAATGTCATAGTTGGTCTTATCACTGAGCTGCCTGCTCTGCTTCAGCTCCTTCTTCTTCTTTTTAAAGTCATCCCATTTGGGTTTCTTGGCTGCTGATTCATCGCTTTTACCATCTGGCTGGAATTTCCTCTTCTTGTTGAATTTATTTGGCTTCTGGAATTTGTCCTTTGGTCCTTTGCCCCCCTGTGGCTTGTTCTTGAACTGTTTCACACCCTTTTTGCCAGGTTTGGTGGCGCCTTTCTCAAAGTTCTTAGATGTGACTTTAGGCCCGCCTTCCTTACCAGCTTTCCTCAGGATGGTCTTTGAAGAACTGGAATCACTGTTTTTATGAAATCTATTCTTTCCTTGTGCTGTCTTTGGCCTCTGTCCCGTGAATTTTTTCTTCTCTTTGACTTCCATCATAGCAAGTCGTACACGTGGGGCAGAAGCTCGCAGTCAGCCACTTTCCCAGCACCTGTCATCCTTATTCTGACCAGTAGGTATTAGGGAACTGGACACCTCTTGCTTACATTGTATTTAAAGTGATTAGGTTCATATAGTTAGGGAGTTGATTTGCTTATGAACTGTGTTTAAAGTGTTAATCATTTTGAGGTGGTTTCATAGTGTTCAACCTAATAACTGCCATATATAAATTTAACACTGTTATAGTTACATTTTCTAATTTTAATATTTTTCCTCTTTATTTGTTTTCTATTGTGTATTTGCTCTTTATGCATATGCATTTGTAATATAATTTAAAAACATCTTATGAGTAATTCCTTTGAAATAATTAAAGCTTTTTCTTAATGATTGTAATTTTTGCAGGATGATATACCAGAGCTAAAAGAGTATTTCTTGGTGAATTTAACTCATGTTGATCTCATTATGGCTCCTCTAACTTCATTTCCTCCCAGACTAGGTAGGGTGACTCTCTTTGCTATCTTCAATTAAAATGAAGTGACTTCATTTTAAAATCAGAAATATTTTTTGTTATTTTTGCTATTGTTAGCTATGTGTGAAAATAAGATGCATATTTTAGACTTGTTACAATTAGAGACATCATTATAATTGTGTAAAGCAGTATAAAGACTAATTATTGTGATGCTTTTTGAATTTTACAACTATATTATAGCCAGATCTGCAGCCCGCAAAGTAATACTACTTCTTTCAAATGTATTTTTCTTTTATTTTCTCTTAAAATACAATTAACTATTTTCCTAAGCTGTCCACTATATTTTCTTTTAAGTTAAGCATGTGTTTTGTGTGTTTTGCTTCTTGCATTTCTGACCTTTGATCTTTTTTCTTTTCATGCTTTTGGAAAACATAATTTATTACAGACTAAAAGGTAAAACTTGAATCTTGGTGTAAACTTACTAGACCCTTCATAAGATACACCCAGGTCCTGCTGGCAAGTGTGATGTATGCAAGGTGGCAGTGAGTAGCATCAGGGTCAGCCTGTGCTGCTGCTCCAGCCCCAGTCATAGGTCTATGGGACAAAGTGAGCCCGGATGAGGAGGAACAGCAGAAAGCTAGGACAGGTGTAGTAGCCTGAGGACTCCTTTCCAAGGCTTAATGTAACACCTGGTCTGGTCCTGATTCTGGTATGTGGTGGTGCTATCATTTCTCACATCCCCATTTTAACCATGAGCCAATGGGAACTGCAAGAGACTAGTAACATACTTCGAATTACAACCAGAACATGAAAGAGCTGCTTTTTTCTTATAAACTAAAAGTTTAATTTTAATAATCTGTGATTTAACTCTCCTTTCAAAAATATTTTTTGATTATTTTTGGAATTGTAATTTTATTTCAACATTTTTCCCTTCTTTTTCCTCCTTCTGGACACTCCCAAAGTCTCTTGACTACTCTCCGTCAAATTCGTGACTTCTTTTTTAAATTTATTGTTATAACATTAATAAATATGAATTTGTATATACATATATACACATATATGTATATACATATATATTCACAAATAAAATATGTTGAGTCCATACACACATATTGTAATCATTTGCTGTGATTTTCGAATGTCTGACTGTAATAATAATAATAATAGAATGTCCATAGCGTATAAATCCTGATTTCATACTGTCTTCTGAACATTATTATTGTCTTCAGTCTAAAGACAATTGGTCTTCTTCTTTATACACCTCAGCAGCTATGATAATTGTCCTTAAGTAAAAGATAAAGTACACACACACACACACACACACACACACACACACACCCCAGGGGGAGAATTAATGTTTCAGTATAGAAGAGCAGCTAAGTGTAGTCCACTGAACTGTGGACAGAAATGCAACACAGAGAAGAGAACTGCAGCAATGTTTGCTCATCAAAGCCTTTCTTTATTATTTCTTATTATTTCTGTATTAATGTTTCTCTCTGTGTCGCTCATTCACACATGTGTTTTCTGTGACCTCCCTTCACTTTTAAGTTTGTTTTTCTTTTTTCTTCTCTTTCCTACTCTTCCCACTTGTACCACTTTCTCCCCTCCTAAAATACAATAGAGATGTAAATACTGTTTCATTTATTCAAAATGAACAATTCTGGCTTGAAATGTCATGTTGTTCTAGTGAAATAGTTATATATCAAAAACTCTTGATAGTAAAATATTCCTTTTCTAATGTCACCAGCATTGTTTTTCTATTTTCTTAAACATCTTTTCACTACCAATATAACTACATATGAAAATTTATATGGCTTCATTCTTAAATTCTGCGCCAGACAGTGTCTTTAACTGTAGTTTAAATGATATTATATTAACTTATAGTCGTTTAATACATCTCTGTTTTATCAGACTCAGAAGGCTTGACTGCACAGATTGTCATTGATGCCAATGACGGTGCCCAAGGTGTAATTGAATGGCAGCGTAGCAGGTAAACCAAGGCTGTGTAAGCTCCTTTCTTAATTCTGGATTCTTCCCAATTACCAAACAGAAGTTATGAGAAAAAAATGAATCTGTTCTCTTTATCCCAGATTTGAAGTGAATGAAACCCATGGCATTGTAACCCTGGTAGCCCAGAGGACCAGAGAGGCCCTTGGCGAGGTTTCACTGTTCATGTATGCCCAGAATCTAGAGGCCCAGATGGGGCTGGATTACATGTGCAGTCCGCAGGTAAGGCTCTGCATAATCTATGATGTCATTTCTCAGCACTGTCCTTTGAGAATTGTAGTGATGTGCATCTTCATGAATAAATTAATTTAACAACCGCTGTGTAGGCTACTCTATACTGAGAGCGGAGAGAACATTTCTGTACTGTATGGTTCTCTCTGCTGTAATGAGCCTTTGATTTAAGCTTCAATGCTATTCTAAATGTCACTCCGAATTCACTATCTTTTGCAGTATTTAATTCTGAAGACTACTAGGCCATGCATTGACAATGTTTATCGTTAGACTCTCCCAGAGTGCATCTTATGCTGCTCGAAAACTTTCACTCTGCTCTCTTTGTTTTCATTTATTAAGACACTTCAAGCCCTTAAAATAGGCTTAAAAATCCTTTTCTGTTTATCCCCTTCATTCCTTAACCAAATGTTTGCTTTCTTCTACTCTGTAAATTTAACTTGAAATATTTTCGGTTTAAACAAAAAGAGATATGTAAAACCGTATGTGTCTGCACACGCATGTGTGCCAGGAGGATTCCAGAAGAAGGTGTCAGATCACTGGAGCTATACTTTCAGGAATTTACAAGCTGCATGGTAAAGGTTCTAAGGACCAAACTTGGGTCCTCTGAAAAAAGAGCAAATTCATTTAACTGCTAAGCCATCTCCACAGCCCTGATAATAGCTTATTCTCCACATCAAGAGTTATATGGTATTGCTTTCTAAACATTTTATGAAAACTCAGAGTCTATTTAAGTACATGGTCTTTTCTTCTATCTTTTTGACTAGATTCTTCATTTTGCTGATGGAGAAAGGAATAAACCCGTGGAGGTTGTAATCCTGGACGATGACATTCCAGAAGGAGATGAAAGATTTCAGTTGATATTAACAAACCCTTCTCCTGGTCTAGAACTGGGGAAAAATACAATCGGTAATTAGTCATTTCTTTCCCACAGTCTCCTTTTTCCTGTCTTGGCTTCTGCAGTGTGGAGGCAAGAGGGATGAGCCTCTTCCTAGGCTCTTTATGAGCCTCATAAGTAAAGCCTCCCAAGTCCTACATTTTGGTGTCCTGTCAGTGATAACGAGTTGACCCTGTGTGTTTGTGTATATGAAAACAAGGTCAGAGTAGGGTGATACTAGGAGTCGTATTAAATGATTTTCTAATTAGTGTAGTTTTACTTAATGTGTAGTCTTTTTCTCAGGATTGGAGTTCTGCTCTGGTTGTGTTTAGCAATGAAAAGAACAATGACGACAGTTCTTCCAGTGTTGCTTCAGTGCTGCAGGATTCATACACAGAATAGGAGGTATTAAAGTCTTCAACATGTCATGAGAGCTTTGATTCTTGAGTTGGAACAGTTTGATATTTTCACTGTGGGTTAGATACTGTGATAACTGCTCAACAAGGGCAAAACAATAGTGACAGAGAAAGTCTCATGGATCTAAGGAGTTTTGTACAAGAAAACTTATTTGTGTACTTATAATTTTTTATTCTTTGACAATTTTATATACGTTTACAATGAAATATGCTTGTATCCACCCACATTTCCCCCCTCCACTTCCCCTTGGATCCCTCTCCTCCAGCATGTCCTGTTGATGGAGGCTACTTGTTTGTTTCCTGGCCACCCAGACCCGAAATACTCACACAGAAACTGTATTAATTACAACACTGCTTGCCAATTAGTTCATGCTTATTTCTAACTAACTCTTACATCTTGACTTAACCCATTTTTATTAATCTATGTATTACCATGAGATTCATGGTTTACCAGTAAGGTTCTTCAGCATCTGTCTCTTTCAGCAGCTACATGGTGTCTCCCTGACCTGCTTTAATTTTCTCAACATTTAGTTTAGTTTTCCTGCCTAGCTCTATTCTGCCCTGCTGTAGGCCAAATCACCTTTTTTCATTAACCAATAAAAGCAACACATATAAAGAAGGATATCCCACACCATTTTCCCTTTTTTATCCAAATAAAAGGGAAGGTTTTAACTTTAACATAGTAAAATTTCATATACAAAACAGGTATCAAACAAGAATTACATTTACAACATTTATATCTACTTTATCTTTTATTATAACTAAGGAAAACTATAATTAGAACTATCTATTCTTTAACTCTATCAAAGACCCCAGAAGGATATAATAAATATATTTAAGTAAATAGGAAGTGCATTGTAAGCAACTTCCAAAACTCTACAATTGGCAGACTTCTCACTGCCTGGAAAGTCACCTAAAGTTATTCTGTGTCATTGTAACATCCATCTTCAGCTTTCAGGACTATAGTATATTGCAGATTTTTCCATGAAGCAGAAAATTTGAAAGATTGTTTTGCCTCTATTGGCAATTTGTCAGTCACTTTT